GCTATTTTGTGTTGTCAAAATAGTTGATTTCATCTTGAGCAACCAAGGGTTAAACTCTGTTAGCTTAGTGATCTGCTTTGTCAGGACAAAGATCTATTGATCCGATAAGGAAGCTGATATCTGCCTCAACAGAGTCTCTTGAAGGGTAGCATTTGGAGTTGGCAACAGGAGAAGTAACTGGCCCGTCCATTTGTGCAAATCACCTAATTGCTTCATAAAATATTAAATCTGAACCAGGAATATGATGTAAAATAATTTAGACACACCCCTGTAATCACTAAATTTAACAACATTCTGGGAATTCTTCATCTTTTAGTATCCAAAAAGTGAAGAATGTATTAGTTATACATACAATACTTTATGTTCTTTATTCTGGTAACTATTGAGATATTTTGAACTAAAGTTTCTTACAAATATATACCAGATACTGCAGTGAATTTTTCTGTATTCTATTATGTTAGAGCCTAGTAATACAGTGCTTCATTTCGATCATGTAATTCAGTTAACAAAATAGGTCAATATCATTGACCCAAACATATGTATAAACCTTATTTTGAAACAACACTACAAAGTGTTCAGAGTTAGAGAAGACATTAACAACCAAACTGAACGCTGCTATTTCTACATATAAAGTCTTTAAAAAGTGCAGCACAATGATGCAAAAGCTGAAGTATAAACTATCTATGTACATTTATTATGCTAAAAAAGAACGGAACCCCCTGTCAACTCTAGCATTTAATTTTGCAGGTAGTCAGCTAGGGAGCAAAATTCTGCAAGAGGTTAAGAGGTTAAGGACATGCACCGAGCTTTCCTCTAACTAGAGTGCGGTGTAACTGTCGGTTGGCTTTTTGGCTAAGATCAAGTGTAGACCTTGTTCTTATCAGTTACTCCTTGGGATATGCAACTGCCAGAAAAGTTCTCCTGTTGAAATTCACTTGTTTACATACCCACAACCCCATAATAATGCACTATGGGAGGATCGAGCTCCTGGCTACAGCTATGCCTTCAGCCCTCTGTTGGCTGGGATCCATATTCCAGTACTTCTGATCTGAGGAGTTTGATCTGCCCTCACAAAAAGTGGAGATACTGGAATGCAGAACTAGCTTGAGCACTCAGGTACTAGGCTCAGGTCTGGATTGGCTTTTGATAATTTGAAGCCTAGAGAGTTGGAGGTGGAGGGGAGGATGGGTTGTTTTCAAGGACAACCCTTGTTCCCTTGTGGAACAAGATTCAGTCCAATTCAGTTTGGGGGGGGGGGTTGGGGGTGGAGGGGAGTGAGCAAGGCCGAACCTCGCTCACCAATAAAAAAAAGTTGGTTGACCATCTGACAAAATAGTGACTATCCTCCTTCACTTTATTGCTAAAAACTAAACATGAAGAAATAACACATATTAGAATGTTGCCGAAAACAATTCTTAATGCTTTCTTTAACAAAAACTTTCTGGCCCTCTCCGGGGGTGGTTGGGTGTGGGGAGCACCATTGCATGCCTTAAGAGCCAAATGGTCCATTTCCACCTCGCATTACATTTGAAGGACCAGCCATCCATCAAACACCAACATTGCTCACCAAGCTTGCCAGTGTGCTGACTACGGGCTCCAGGAGATCACCACCTCCTGTCTCTCAGAGCTCGCCACCGCACACAGACCCAAAGACCCAGAGAGAGACACATACTCAAAGACACAGACACACTCACAGAGAAAGAGATACGACACACACACAATCACACAGAGACACTCATACAGAGACACACACACATCACACATGTACACACGGAGGGGAGAGAGACACATAGACATTCACACACACATACATACACAGGAGAGAGAAACACACAGACATTAACAGCAGCATTCTCAATTGCTCTTGGGACACACTGCATGCTAACCCAGTCTGCTTTGGATACTCTTAAGCATGATGCTGGATTCTGCATGTGTCACCATGTTGACAAAAAAAATTCTGCATGTGTCAGACACCATGTTGACAAAAAGAAACCCTAGTGCTCCAGCTTGCATTGTTCTAAAAATAAGAACAGGAATTAAGTTGACCATGAAGCAGAAGTAAAACCACACAAAACCTCGTAACATTTCACTGTTACAATAGTGTCTGGATCTCTGAAATAGTTAAACAGGAAGTTTAACCTACTATCCTCCTACCTACCTGCCCGTACCCTCCGTTCCTCTGGCTCCGGTCTGCTCCACGTCCCCCGCCCCAACCGCCCTACCATCGGTGGTCGGGCCTTCAGCCTCTCAGCCCCCAGGCTCTGGAACTCCATCCCCCAGTGCCTTCGCCGCTTCCTTCCTCTCCTCCTTCAAGGCCGGTCTCAAAACCTTTCTCTTTGACCGTGCCTTCAGCTCCCCTCTCGACTCTCTTCCCCTCCTCGCTCCCTCCCTTCCCTCCCCTCACCCTGACCATTTCCCCCCTGCTCGGGTCATGACCCAACTGTGCAGCGCCTTGGGACGTCCTCCTGACGTGAAAGGCGCTTTATAAATGGAATCTTGTTGTTGTTGTTGTTGTTAACTTCCTGTTTAACATTACATGGAAATTAATTAGCATAAATGGTAAACATCTATTCCACCAATTAACTCTTAATATTCAGATGCTGATCACCAACACATTTTCTTCCTGTGGATTAGGATCTGCAGAGCCTTGAACAGAACACACTCGTCCACAACATGTCCATATACACAGTCCATGTAACTTTGCCATTTCATGATCACTCAGCATTTAAAGGCATAGAATTTATAGCATTGCAAACTGATTCACTGCACTTTTGCTTATCGGTACCAATAATTATAGAAAAGTAGATGAAAAATACAATGTTTGCTAAAACATTTGATATTCTCATTGATTTACGAAATTTCATTTTTTTCACGCCAATATTGTAAATTGAAAAACGGATCATTAAAGAACCCTATATCCCACATAATCTCATTCCATTTTGTAGATCAATATCAAACATAGCAATATTCATCTCAGATTGATAAACTGAACTTTTGCTCTTAATTAACTGATTCGCTGAACTTTTGCTCTTAATTAACAATAAAATAATTATACAAAGTAGGTGAAAAATAAAATGTTTGGTAAAACATTGATATTCTCATTGTCTTACGAAATTTCTTTTTTTTCATGCCAATATCGTAAATTGCAAAACAGATGTTTCAATGCAACATGAACATTGCAGATTACATTGCAAAGTGATGAGGACCATGGAATTGCTCTCCTCACTGTTGAGCAGTGGTCAGGTGTTTGCATACTCTGGTTCACTGGAGCGACAGGAAGGAAAGTTATCTGTAGCAAAAGATGAAATCAACGCAAAGCATGTAACATTGTTACGTACATTATCTTGTTATTCATACACGCACAGAGAATACCAGTGGAGGGTGGAGGGTGCTAAAGAGGGGCCAGTACCGATACGCCTGGTTACTTAACCATGGGAAGAGCAGGGCCAATTTAGTCTTCATGTGCAGCCCCAGCTCAGACGAGCAAACTCAGCACAGCCCAGCAAGTGCTGTTACACTACCCACAAAGAAAATTTGATTTGGGCTAAACAATACCAATGTCTGGCATCATCCTCTACAGAGGCTGCTGTTGTCAGTACAGTAAATAATCTTAAGCACAGAATTTCTATGCAAATGGAATATCACTAAACCAGCACCGCAGTAAAGTTTAGAATTAGCATGATAGCCGTTCTTCACCAAGACACCATAGTGCAATGTAAAACTGCATAAATAATGGCTCTAGTCTATGCTATGGTTACAGTCAGTGCTGTTATGTACCAATAAAAGTTTCACTTCAGGACCCAGGAGTCCCTAAAGGATATTAAACAGAAACTAAAATATTCTACAGTTCAGTAAAGCATAAATGGCTAAAATCAATTACGATCAGTGATGAAAGGGACAGATCTGTTTAAATTAACCCAACCTGCAATTCTGCATATTTTTACTTGTAGAAACATTCCTTCCACTTATTATTAAACTGGCCTGGACAGTAATTGATAACCAGATCTCACCGCTGGCAACTGATATAGATTAAATTAAGGACTAGGAGAATTGTGTACACTGCAGTAACTGTAATTTTAAGTTGAAAATTTGAATTAAACAACTTCTTTAATAAAAAACATTAATAAAACGTTTAATTAACAAAAGATGGGGGTGTTGGGGGAACAAAAATGGCCTAGTTCTCTATTTTCTATTAGAAGTAGTGTTAACGGAATTGCTAATTATGATCTGGTATTATGATGGTGTAAAGGCAGTACAGTATTTAGAACAGTGATGCAGCAATAAGTAGTGCCAATTGAATATATAAATCTCAGCTGGCGAGCTCTGGAATACCAAAGTCTCACCACTGATCTGTGATGCTGTGCTGGTAGGAATGGCAACTCAGACTCCTAGGAATTCATGGCGTTCTTCTTTCCCTGTTCTTACTCCAGAGGCATTGTTAAAATGTCAATAGAATTCTTTACTTGCTCATTTATTTCTGCCATCCAAAGAAAATCCTTGGCCTTCAGCAACCAGTTTTACTAAGAGTCACAAAAGGCAAAACTGTCTATCGCACTGGCTCACCCATAAACCTTGTAAATCTTTACTTTTGTTCTAAAATATGTACAGCACAAAACTGAATGAAACCGTGACAGTGATGTACGTTGTATTAGCACTTGACCTTTAAATATGGACCTAACGTCTAACTATGTTAAAAAAAAGGACCTCTTGATTACCTCTTAATGTGATTTTCCAGTTCAATTAAGTGATTATAGGCATTGAGCTGCATTGCTGAAGATGAACACTTTGCAAAGTGTTTGTAGTCAGAGGTATGTTTCATTGGCTCACATCACCATCATGTTGAGAGGTAGCGAAATGCGCCATGTTTCTTTTACAAAATCTGTGCACTTTTTATGCTTTCGTAAAATATGGGTAATACCGCAGGGTGAGCATTTATTGCCCTTCCATAGTTGCCATGAGAAGGTAGTGGGTAACTTCTTTGTGCATCACCTTTATCATACTTACATATTAGGAAAAAATGGAAATGTGTCCTCCTCTTTTCCAGGCAGCACAAAGAAGTCCACTCGGGGTACAGTCCCAGTCTTATCTTTGTAAGCCTCCCGATGTTCCTGGGCCAGCTACAGTCAATAGAACAAATGTGTATTATATATATCTGTGTGTTATATTAATATATGAAACTGATGTACATTATTCTGATGTGTCAGCTCATCATGCAAATTTTCTATTTCCATCACTTTATTTGGCAATATTGTGATATTGTGGCTGTTTGAATGCCATCATTGTTCTGTTCAGTTTGAATATTAACATGGCTTCCTTTCTGGCTCCAAGGTGTAATTGATTCCTGTAAGTTACTATGATGTCAACATTTCTTGTAGTACTATGATAATAATAATCTTTCATTTGACTGGGCATCTACCACATGCAGGACTTCTCAAAATGTTTGTATCTGTAAGTGAACTCGACAGACAATTTGTGTTCAGTAACGTTCCAGAAACGGCCATGAAGAGAATGACCAGTTTTATCTGGAGGAATGTTGCACAGAACACCTGGGGAAATTCCTTTTAGTTTTCAAATAACTACGGGATTTTTAACACCCATCTGAACAGGCAGACAGATCTCAGCTGAATGATGACATCTATGACAATGCCAGCAGTGCAGTTGAGTGTCCGTTTCGCCTATAAGTTTAAAGTGCCAATCTATGTGACCCACAACCTTCTGAATCAGAGGCAAGCGTGCTATCAACTGAGCCGAGCCGACAAGTGATTTTATACTGAAATTACCAGGGCAATACTGATTTTCTGGAATGTCACAAGTGTAGCAATGCAGATATTCTAAGTTACCTCAACAATCACTCAACTGGAAGAGACGGCTGAAATAAGTCAACCATAAGTGAATATTTCATGAGCATTGTTTATTTTTCAGATGTAACATTTAAAGTAATGTTGTGTTGCCAATTCAATACATGGCACAGTGGAGAGCTTTCTGAAAGAATTGTAATGAAATTAGACATCTCGCAAAATTGAGCCCTGGTAATTTCTGAGTGCATAAAAAGTCTGAAACGTTCTCCACACTCCAGTATGACAATACTTAACTATGTGCTTTGAACTTTAATGTACAAAGGGTAGAATCCAAGAGAACTCACTACTTGGAAAAAACAGACAGGAACAGAGGTATATGAAGCTTTTGTTATTGTTTTTCTTTATGATGAGAAATACCCACAGGGCGTCTTGCATTGCTGAAACCTGCAGACCTGTCTCAGTAATATCATGAGTGAGCTGTTCTGCGGATATAACCTCTGCTAGAATCTATAGAAGATCTATTTGTTAATTTGATACCACCAAACATTGTAGTGTCCAATTAAAATGCTATTTTAAGTGCAAGTATTTATTGGTACAAATGAATTAGGGACTGATATGCATTTATTCCTGTTAATAATTCCTTAATAAGGAGTTAAGTTATATAAATAGAAACTCATTCCGGTAAGTAGCAGTAAGTCACACACACACCTTTAAATTGAGTTAAGCTTGTATACCAGGAACCAACAATGAAATGCAGTGATCCATCAGGTGGCAAGCTGAATAGTGAGTATGGGTCAAGGCATTATAGCAGACATTGACTAAGACACTGCCATGGGAACAATTTTCAACAATGCTAATGTCACCAGCTCACCAACAATAATTATCCCATCACACATCACATTTTTCATCCCAAAGTTTGAAACTGGGATTTGTAAATGAACCTCATCAGTAAGAGAGAAAATACTTGAGAACATTTCGCACAATGCTGTCAATGTTCATCTAAAGAATGCAGAGACCACAAAGAACATCAGCATAGGTTTAAGAGTAAATCATAAATCATTAATCTGCTATTGTTGACATTGGTTGATGGGGGCAAGGCAATTATATATTTTCTTTTGATTTTCAAAAGGCTTTTGATAAGATTCCTCATAAAATAATCCTGGCAGATCTCATTTCATTAAATTTATTTCAGACAGCTCTACACTGTGCCAATTAATGAAAACACACTGTTTGACTGCCTAACAACTCCCTGCAACACAACTCACTTGAACTATTTATGTCTATCAACCTGGCTCAGTTGGTAGCACTCTTGCCTCTAAATCAGAACATTGTGGATTTTGAACTTGTATAGTTTAGGCTGATGTTCCAATGTAGTGCTGGGGTGTGCTGCATTGTTGGAGGTGCCATTCTTTGGACGAGACATTACATCTTGTCTGCCTGTTCAGGTGGGCATTTAAGATGACAGGTCACAAATCAAAAAGAGTGTGGAATTTCTCCTGGAGTCATTGGCAAAAATCCTGGCCAACAAACAAAATTGGTTATAAATTTCATGGCTGTTTGTGACACATGGCTCTGTGCAAATTACCTGTCACATTTGCCTACAAAATACACAGCTAATACACTTTGAGTGCTTTGTGACACCTTTGGATATCAAATGTTAGCAATATTATTATTATTCATCTCCCCCTAGTTTGCTGAAATATACATATGGCACTATTGCTTTTTTTTCTCAGTCTTACCTTATCAAATGTTTTAAGCTCTTCAGTCCTGTCAAAGTCCACATCATATCTGGACCACCGTGGAGCAGTCAGCCACCTGTTCCTGGTTCGGGATCTATCTGCTATTACAAGAGAGGGGTCATTGGAGTAAATAGTTGGGAAATTCCCTCCTTTGCTGTAGGGAGTCGTACTTGTGTTTAAGACTGATGATCGATAATCCTGGAAGTACTTCAAGGTGCTATTTCCATAGGTATCACCGTACGTTAAATTTATTGTAGGAACATAACCACGGTATCTGGAAGCACAGAGAAGATAACAAATATCCTTAATGAAGGTAAAATATCACATAACAGAAGATGTGCAGAGTTTTTTTCCACATGAATGAGCACAATGGAATACATCATCAGTCCACCAACATTTTAAGTGTATCAATTTTACTATGATTTCACCTATATATCCCTTTGTGCTCCTAAATCTCCCTAACCCACTCCTCTGCTCTGCTTAGCCCATTATGTCTTGGTACAGGTCCTGCTCCCTATCCACACCATTGGTGGCCAAGCTCTCTATTTCTACACCCCTAACCTCTGGAACTCCCTTCCTCTCCATTCCCCTCTCTATCTGTCTTCAAGTACTCTTAAAACCTACCTCTTTGACCAAAGTATAAGTTAACAAGAATAACGTTTCAGTCAACTTAGCTTGACATGGGTGGAATGGATGCGGAGAGCTTTGTATGAGAGAGGACTTGGGTTGTGCCATTAAACTAGCTGACAAGAAGAACATTGGAAAGAATGCTATCCTCAAAATAACAAAGGCATAGAAAAGGATTTTGACAGCATTGGGGATACAATGAAGATGTAAGTGCTCAACGTTCCAGAGATGACAGACTTTGCAATGGATCCAAAGTGGGTTTTAAAACTCAGCTTAAGTCAGTAGAACAATAAGGGTAGATGTTATCTGATTTAGCTTGAGTGAGCAACCAGAGAGTTTGATGGAATCATATCCAGTGGTGTATATAATAAGTCCTGGTGTGAACCAAAAAGGGCGTTTCGCCCACAAAATACACATTCATTCAATCCACTTTACCGTTTATAATAAATAAATAATAATCCTTGCATTTGATATAGCACTTTTAATGTCCTCTAGACGTCTCAAAACACTTCACGGAATATGCATACTGTAAAGAGAATTGACTGTATATTTGTGGGCGTAACGTGGTAGCCAATTGCGCACAGCAGCGTCCCACTTGAAGTGACCAATTTTTTTATTATTTTTTTTCTTGAGGGATTATTATCAGGCATATGGATTAAGGAAACTTGCCCAAGGTTTCACCCTGCCAAGAATCAAACCCAGGTCTTTCGCTTACAAAGGCGAGTGCTCTAACCACTGAACTACAGGACTCCTTGTGAAGTTTATCTTGTGAACCACAATGAGATGTCTCGATGACATGATATGGCATCAGATCAAATGCAAAGATTATTATTCTTTATTATATTGATGTTCAGCTGCAGAAAGATATGGAATTAATATTAGGCAAGACAGTATAGCAACAGTCCTGGAGTTGACTTGGTGCCAAATAGGTAAAGTTGGGTACCATCAGCACACTTGGAGCTTACCCTATACTCACAGAGGATATTGTAAAGGGGCAACATGTAATTCAGGAGTAGGAGAGGGCTAAGAACAGAGTCATGTGTTGCAACAGAGTAGTCTTTTTTAAGGAATTTGAAGGATATTGTGGCATCAGTTTTGAAATGGGAAGGGGCAGTTCCTGAGAATAGACAAGAAGGAATTGTTGGATTGTCAGATGCTGAACTGACAGTCAAGACAAGAGGAGGTTGGCTTCATTCAGGAGATGAGTTTGATGAGCTGGGAAGAAAAACTTCAAAGAATAGTTGCTGATTGATTACCAGGCCTGTTTTCTGCCATGTATGTCCCAGCCTACGGACTCCGGATTCGAGGAGTATTATATTCTTGAATTGTTAAATATTCGAGAAGAGCTGTCCAATGGCTCAGTGAGTAAATACATCACCTAACGTGATAGTGTGCCATACAACCTAGGAAGGTCCTAAGCCCTGCCACTGGTCTAAATCACTCTGTTAAATTAATTGATCTGTACCTTAGTAGTTAGAGCAAGAACAAGAACATTGGGCAAGTTTCCTTACTCCACACACCTCTGTTCACCTAGCAGTAAATAGGAACCCGGTTGTTAGTCGATTGACAGATCACTTTTCCGGGGATAATAATCCCTTAAAATGTTTTTAAAAATGTGATCACATTTGTTTGTGGGATACTGCTGTGTGCAATTGGCTGCGGCATTTCGCCCACAAAATGTACAGTCAATTCACTTTACTATGAAGTGCTTTGAGAAATCTCAAGGATGTGATAAGGTGCTATATCAAATGCAAGGATTATGATTATTATTATTATTATCATCTGAACTAAGTTGCAGTAGAACTGCTGTAATTGACTTTGTGCCTTTGAACGAAGACACTTCCACTCAAGGTTCCTGATCGCCATCTGGTGACTGGAATAGGAAAGGGCATACGTGGAAGTCAGTTCAATCAGGCTTTGCTGTTATAACATTCTATCAGCGCTTTGGGATGTCCTCCCGATGTGAAAGGCACTCTATAAATGTAATTTTGTTGTTCTTGTTCTCATTCAGCTGCTGTTAATGCTGCAAGCCAATCCCCTAACAGGTAGTGTGGTCTTTGCTGGATAAACCGCAGGAAAGCTTGCCAGGCAGCCCTCTCAATGGCAAGCTATCCGGTTTTATCTGGTTAGACTCCAACAGAACCCCAAAGCACACTCTGGGGTTCACAAACCTTGGCTTTTGCAAACTTGCACCTAATACTTTCCAGAATTAGGTCATCAGGACGCGTCCGTCCAAGAAGATAGTGTGCATTCCATTTCCAATAATCATCTCTGGATTTCCAATAAACATTCATGTATTTCCATGTATAGGTGGGATGTATGGAACTCTCAGTTTGGTTTGGATACTTCAAACATATGTGATAGACACTTGGATGACCAGAAAATGTGACTCTAAGGCAAAAGAGCTCAATGACGAGTTATCTGGAGTGGTGAGTTAGGCATATGTATAAATACATAAATAAATGCAGCCAGGTTATTGACAGTATGATGACTTAAGTGGGTAGTGACAAATTAAGCCAGGGTCAAGTTATCAGCAGTTTACTGTACAAGCAATGTCCCCTTGGGTGAGATATTATAGGCTGCTGGTAGTGTAGAACTTTTCTCAAAATGACTCAAACTTTCAAGAAAGAAGATAAGACAAAATTGAAAATCTTAAGAATTATAACATGTAATGCTTTCTCATAAATGGCTCTTGAAGCCAAGTCCATAAAACCATTCCAGAAGGGATTCAAATAAAGACCTGAGAAAAAAAAATTAAAGATTTTTGGGAAAGAGTGGTGGAGATTAGAGTACATAGCTCCTGTGAGAGAATAGCATCACGATATAGCAATAGATATAATGAGCCGCATTATTTTATGGTTTTATTTTTGATAAAGTATACTACAAACTATGTTTTACTGGACTGCATCAGACAGGACTATACTACAGTATATTTTAATGCCATCCATGTGTATTTGAAGTTCCAGTGTTGAAAATACAATCAACTCCATATAAGTTACACATTTCACCTACATTTTCCAAAAAGATCTTGGTGGCACAAGAACAATGCAAAGATCAATACCAACTTTATTCTGACAGTTCATGTCCCATTTGTACCAACACAACACGGTACAGTAATATCTGGTTATTTGTGTTCTGATTGCTTTTATAAAATGTGGTAGCGACGTGAAAGGCGTAATACAAATGAAATCTTGTTGTTGTTAAATGGGGTATATAGTTCAAAAGAATACATTTATAGTTCCACTGAAGTGATTATTTGCAATATGGAAAAGAGTCCGGATTTGGGTTAGAGTGTAAAGTTTCAATGGAGAAGTTTGGACCAGCAGAAGATTAATAGGCCAAATAGCCTTATTTTGTGTTGTAATTTATTTAATTGTAGGATTCTTCCTCCACATACGTGACACCAAGTTTAATTTGGATGACATTAAGCTTTGTTTTATTTACATTTTGTTGAAATAGGAATTAATGATAGCAGTCAAGGAATTTAGGAAAATGTTGCATCTCAACGTACATAATGAGCTAGTTGTTTCACACCTTCAGTACATAATGAATTGGCAAGATTATACCACAAACTAGTATAATTTGGGGGATTATAAACATAACAAACATGAAATGTTGTCCTTTTCCAGGAAAATAATAATAATAATAATCCTTGCATTTGATATAGCGCTTTTCACATCTTCTAGACGTCTCAAAAGGCTTCACAGAAAAAACTGTAAAGTGAATTGACTGTATACTTGTGGGCAAAACGTGGCAGCCAAATATACACAGCAGTGTCGCACAAACAGTCGTGGATTGAAGTGACGAGTTTATTAATTGCTTTTTTTTGAGGGATTATGATCAGGCGTGTGGAGTAAGGAAACTTGCCCAAGGTTTCGCCCCTGCCGGGAATTGAATCCAGGTCTGTCGCTTGCAAAGCGAGTGCTCTAACCCCTGAGTTACAGGACTCCAATAAAAATAGTAATCCTTGCATTTGATATAGTGCCTTATCTCGTAGTTGAGATGTCAAAGAGCTTCACAGAATATATTGTAAAGTGGATTGATTGTGTATATGTGGGCGATATACTACATACTGCTAGATAAAAAGAGACGTGTGAAGTAAGGAAACTTGCCTACGGTTTCACCCTGTCTGGGAATCAAACCCTGGTTTTCTCTTCACTTGGTGAGTGCGCTAACCACTCTGCTACAGGATACTGAGCAATGCTACTAGCATTCCTGCAGCAATTATGACAAATTTCAAATGATATATTCTACACTTCTTTCCAGATAGCAATCCATAGAACCAGTACTGTTCCAGGATATATAAACAGATACAAATGTTTGGAGATATGAACCCTGAATTTACAGTTACAAAATTAGTGGGTAAATCATGGCATAATCACCATTGCAACTTCACTTAATTGACCTCTATGTGAGTTGTCCACACAGTTCAGTTACCCTCTGGAAACTTGAAAAACAACATTGATTATCACATTAAGATTTCCACAGAAGATTTCTCATACTTGTCAAATTACTGTCTATCTCCCTGCTTGCCTGTTATTCTACACTTGTCAGTAAATTTACTAATAAGCAGAGATGATCAATTGTGAAGCAGAGCACTAAGGCTGGTGCTATATTACAACAACATCAACACAACAAGATTACATT